ATAGTGACTAAAGGCATTTCTATTGATTTCTAGGAATAACTTTGGTAATTTCACCTCTTGTGTCGCTAATGGAAGACCAGCTATTTGCTTTAAAAGCTTTGAATGTTAATGCTGCCATGATGAGTGCATCAGCTACCCGGGAAGAAGTCAATTCAATTCAACAGGTGATACTTAGCTGTAATATATTTATGTGTGTATGTTTGCATGTATCTGTGATTCACACCATGTAGAGAACTTGAATACAAATCAGATGTTATATTTGTTGTTTTTATTTTTTTCTAAATTGTTAATACTTTTTAACAGGCAATGGTTGATAAAAATTCAAAATTGAAAATGATTTATGTGACTCCTGAAAAGTTGGCTAAGAGCAAACGTTTCATGACAAAACTTCAGAAAATGTATGAACTAAAGCGGCTGTCGTTAATGGCTATTGATGAAGTGCATTGCTGCTCCCAGTGGGGTCATGATTTTCGCCCAGGTATTAGAGTTGGTTTCTAGAATACTTTCTTTAATGAAAGAAAATATAATATTACCGACAATTATGTTGGGATTAATTGAGATGTAAATTGTAAATACAGATCTAAAACACATTCAATATGTTTCTGTATGATGTTCCATGGGGAGAAGTGTATTCTGTTCATGCTATCTTAAATTCTGGAATTCTGACCCTAACCCATATACAAGTTGAATTCAGAATACTAATGGAAGCATTATTGGCAAGAGTTGATAAGAGAAATTTGCCCCAGTGTAATAAAAACTAATATTTGCAAAGGCAAATCAGTAATAGATTTTATAGGTATTTTCTCTCATCATGCCCTTTGTGAAGGAATCACTTCTGCTAACATGGAGAATGATAATTTACATACACACATACATCAATAGAAAACTTATGTTAATGTCCAGAAGCAAAACAAAGGCATTTGCTCAAAGGATCAGGGAAAGTGGACGAAAACCTGAGATGGGAGTCATTGACCCAGAAGCTGAGGTACAATACTTGGTACAGATTATTTAGAATTATACATTTACATAGATGGGATTTGCTTTTTATTCATACAATTGTATTTTTTTATATAAAAGTCTTGAACTGTAGGATGTGTTTCCCCTGAATATTATGTCATATCTCAGGGAAGAATGAACATTCATGAAATATATACAACGAGCAGTATGAGGGCTGACTGAATTTGAATGAATTCTGATCGCATAGTATTATGAACTTAGGTAATTTTGTGTACATTTCATTTGAATGGGCATTCCATTTGATTTTTGACTGAATTGATAGTTTGAAAATTATAAGGGTGTGATATTTTGACATAATTGATATAAACATGTGTTATTATTGTATTTTGTATGTAGAATATTGTCTGCCATTGTGTTTTCTCACATCTATTACCTCAAATGTGATAATGATGATCTTCAACCCCCCTTGTACCAAAATATTAGAAGGGATCTATTTATATGATCAGACAACTAGTACTCTGTAGGATTTTAGACATACTATCATTGGTGCAGCCAATAGGAAGCATGGATTATTTTTATTCATAAACTGAAAATTGTTTGTCATTATTAAAATCAATTATGTTTAAGTTTGGCCACAGACGTTTAGGCAGTTAGGCAGTATTTTAAAGAACTATTCAAAGTAACTCAAAATCACATAATTTTAAACATAAAAGTTGTTTTTATTTTTCATGTGGTAGTCAAAGTGTGTTCTATGATGTTATGAGGACATGGAATTTTCCCCTTCTTCAGAGTACAATAAATACTATATGAACACTGGAAAATTGAGACTTTTAAAGAATGAAAATAGTGGTGCTAAAACAGAACGTACTTTCGTGCCCGTACTCTCACCAAAAATTACGTAAAAAGTACTCAAATTTTTGAAAATTGGTACATGAGCTTATTTCAAAAACTATTTTTAAGTAAGATATAAAGGAACCATTTTTTTGAAAATGTCCTATGGGCTTCATGTAGAGAGAGAGAGAGATATGAATAAAAAGCTCATTTCCTTGAAAAATCGAATTTAGATGTGCTCTTTGAAATTAAACTATTATCTAAGTTGTTTTAAAAGAAGGGTTGCCAGATATGTTTGAAAGAAAAACTGCACAAATATTTAATTTGTTTTATTAACTCATAAAAATTAATGAAAAACATTACAATCCACTTTTTCAATGTTTGAGATTTCAACAGAAATATACGTTGTGGGTTCCCTTAAATAGAAAAAGTTGTTTGTTTTT